ATTATAGCCCCAGTGTATGTCCTAGGGCTAGGCTGACAGTAAATGTACAGTCTACCTTCGTTGAATGAGTAAGTTTTTGTTCATTATATTTAGAACTGATTGTATTTTATTTCTATATCTGGATGTTATAATTGATACATACAATCACAACTGATGTTTATTTTACTTTTGTTAGGATGACCTGAATTTTCAGAATGTTTTTAATTCATGAAGTTTCATGGCTTCATTACATTAATGGCCTTAATGAGGCATCAGCAGGAGATCCTCTGTCAGTGAACTTGTGAGCTGTCTCTTAAGACCGGCTGAGGGGTGCCTGGGTGGCTCAGTAGGTCGAGTGTCTGCCTTGTCTCAGCTCCGGTCATCATCCTGGAGTCCCCGGGATCCAGCCCTGCCTCGGGCTCTCTGCTTAGCAGGGAGTCTGTTTCTCCCTCTCCCTCTGCTCCTGCTCATGTTCTCTTTCTTTCAAGAGGAAAAAAAAAAAAAAAAAAAAAAAGACTGGCTGGTAAATCAAATGAGTCCACTGTTAAAATGTAAACATATTGTTACCAAAGTGAATTGGGTTTAGACAATAGGAAATACTCTTCTTGGAAATTGTATTTTCTGTTACTTCTTGTGCAGAGACTTGAGGCTTGGCTGTTCTTTTTCATTGATAACATAGGGCATCAGACCCATTTTACAGTCTCCTGAACACTGCAAACAGCCACACACACACACACACACACACACACACACACACACATTCCTCCTCTGAGCCAGTGACTGGGGGCATCTAAGGGGTCTACATAGCGGCAGGTATGAGTGACACAGAAAACACCAAGCGGCTTTGTTGGCCTACCAGTCCGGGAAACTGTGGACAATGTTATTAGTTCACAGTTCTGGGCATGCTTGAATGAGGACACTGATTTCTCTTTGCTTGAAATGGCAGGAACTTTATTAAACAAACATATGTGAAGCTAAGCCTGAGGGTAGGAATTCCTGGCAGCTGAGGAAAAGGGGAGCCGTGGTTTGCCAATGCCATCTGCTTAATTTTCCTAATAATCGAACACCTGCCAGTGAGACTCATCTTGTATCCCAAAATGGCTGAGCATTGTGGAAACCTCAACAATAACTTCTTTCAAGGCCTTCACTGTCATTAGCAGGAGAGTGGCTTTCCAACTTAGCCCTTTTGCACTAAAATGAAAAGGATGCTGATATCTCCTGGGGATGCTTTTGCTGCCGTTAAGTCTGATTTCCTGAGCGTCTGGCATTCTCGGTGCTCTCTGAGTAAAGAGACTGATTAAGTAAGAGGCATCAGAGAGAAGTTAACCTTTCACCTGATCGTATTGTTACTGTTTCCATCAGTTTCCAGATAGGCTGCCTGGATGAAGGCCTGATTTTTCTTTTAACTGGCTTTAAAGTTTAACTCCTATAAGTACTTACCTCCCGCTGAAGGATGGAAGATTTGCTCGTATTCTCATGTAAACATTACTGTGACTTAGTTTTTGTTAATGTCTATCTTGTTTAGATTTAGTGTGATTTTTAGACCAAGTTCTTTCAAATGAGAATCTCTCCCAAGAATTCTTGACTGTTTCCCAAAGGTCCTCGAAGCCACGGTCTGTTAAAACCCTGGTCACTCTGACTACTGAGGGCAGAGAGGGTCAACCTAGGCCCATCGGTTCCCTGAACTTCCCTGAAAGTTCCATACCCCTCCTGAGTTACTCTTTGTAAAAGAGCCAGGAAAGGAATACTAGAGAAATAATTTCTCTGTTGTGACTATAGAAGTCCTCTCACCCCTCCTAATGACTTTCTTTAGCAAAAACCAGAGCTTGTGACTAAAATCAACCTTGCAAGCATAAAATCTTTTAAGAATGAGAAGGAATTATGTGAACTGTGTTTTTACTATTAGCCTGTGAAGTGGATTCTATCTTCAAAGACTTTCAGTCTAGGACAAAGGGGAATAAGCAGTCTAACAATAGAAATTGTTCCAATTGCCTTTGTTGTATATGAAGATTCCGGAAAGGGCTCTTAGGAGGTGAAAGCTTCAAATTTTAATGTTGTGGAATATGTATCATGGGAGAAAAAAGTGACCGTGGATGGTGAGAAAATAGTGGTCACGAATATTGATCTCATATTCTATCAAAGGTTTCCACTGGCAATATAAAATCCATTCAAATATAATTTTCTTAGAAGCTTTACGAGACTTTGACCCAAATACTACAAGAAATATAATCAATGATAAACATATAATCTGTTGGCAGGATTTCACACAGACGAAATCATCATCTACTTTGTCCATTGTCTTTCATATTTCTTGCTAGGTTCATTATCAAAGATTGGTTCTAATCCAGTATTAACCAGCACATTGTTTTCACTCTGTAGTGTGTCCGATGCTGATAGGAAAAGTACCTTGCTTACTTTACTTTTGAAATCATGTCGAAAAATCTCTGAATTTAACACTGTGTACAAAAATAATTAATTTTTAAGGTAATTGATTTTTCTGAAAAAGACATAACTAGCCTAAATTTAGCCACAGCAAAATTATAAATTCTAGGACAGAAGAAAACCATAATAATATACATATCTGAAATATCTGCAGAATGCTGCAGTTCTAAATTTTGAGGTGCAGTGTGAGGGGGTAAATTAAGACAAGAAAAAAACTATAGTAAGTAACAGTATAGATCAAAAGCCATGAAGTTTCGTGATTCTTTCTACCTTCCCCTAATCCGTATCATTTCATTCTGTCCTACTGTCACTTCTAACTGGTTTCTAGTATGTTCTAAGTGGGTCTGCCTTTGTGTATGTGTAAGTGTGTTTGTGAAGAGTAAGGGAGTTAGAAATGTATCATGCTTTTCCCCCCTCTCTATTGGACTTCTAATTAGTTCCAGGTTTTTCAAAAGTGTAGAAATTTACTGTTGCTAATTCATCTCAGGGAATAAGATCCACCAGCTTGCTTTCTGTCTGAATATTTTCTCTTTAATGTCCACGTTCTTTAGTCTTTCATATTAAAAACATAGTAACACATTTCACCCTAAAACTGGTCTGTACACGGACATATTGCTCCTTTAAGACAAATGTTTTCAATTCTTAAACATTTGTAAGGGTAACATTTTGTAACTTTCTACTTCTGTAAAATGGAGTCATAAGATCTGGTATGTTTTGTTTCCAGACATAGTTAAGTTTTATCCTGGCCTACTTTGGACCTTGTTAAAAACGAGCTCAAACATGTATGCATGAAAAAAAAAAAAAACCTCAGACATAGTAGGATATGCGGTTATTTTTCAACTCAGGATATAAATGAGGTGGTAGAAATATTGTGAAAATAACTTGGAAAGTACTAGATAACTGTGCTATTGAAATACCGGTGAGAAGTTGAAAAAATCCAACTTTTCCAAAATAGTTTCAGAAGTCCAACATAGACTGTATATGGTCTTCTCATTGCATTTACTAATGCATTAGAATTTCTTGCAAGTTTTATTTGGAATCATGAAAAAGTCACTGTAGCACTAAAAAGACCTTCGCTAACATTTGATGAAATCTTTGAATTTATAGATTAGAACAATGGCTTCACAAATGGCTGTATTTTTTTCACAAGTCGATGCATGTCTGTGGCACAAATGCGATGAAAGTTTTAAAATTTCTAATCTGGAGCTGAACGGATTATGGTTGTTGTTTTCTTGTTATTATTTTAAGGTTATTTGTCCCATAAAAGATACAGCATTTTGGACTATTAAGGGTTTTCTTGGCATAGACGTTTTGTTACTGTTCACTTGGTTGTAACAATCACATAATATTTATTTTAGTCCTTTTTCACCTAGCAGACTGTGATGAGCATATTTTACTTCTTTATATCATCATGATGTTTTCTTAATAAAAATGTCTCTATAGAAATTATAAAAGTAAGATGAATTTGCATTGAAGAAAATCTGATAGGATATCCACCCAACCATCAAGAAGGGTTGCCTAGTGTAGAGGAGCTTCCAAGCAGGGAAGGACTTGTATTCCCAGCTCAGAGTTCTTCTGAGTTGACTGGACTTTACATCAGAAAGAATGTGATACTATTGCAAATAGAACTACCTAGAAAAATAGAAATTCTTTTCCTTGTATTAATTTTAGTCAATTCAAAAATGGACACAACTAACGTTAATTAACTACATGTATGCCTACACCTTCCCAGACCTTTGGAAAATACATTTAGGTATAATGTTTCAGCTATTACTTTAGAGGAATAGAAGAACTTCGCAAAAACCTACTAAAACAATGATGGTATGAAAATGTAATTCTCTCCTACTCTCCTTCCTCTGTAAACCTCCACCCGGTGTTTCAAGAGTCCATCTCATAGGCAAATATTTTATTCATTGCTTTTTGAATTATTTCTCTAATTACCATGTTTCTAAAGAGTTTTTCATTTTCTGTGTCTTGATTAGTCAGCTCAAGGTAGTATAAACAGAATGACTGATAGAGTAAACAGACAGGAGCTGGAGGCAAAGACAGTGATAAATAGGCTACCCATTCTAGGGGCACCACATCCTGACCTTGTGGCTTCCAAGACCCCTGGCCTAGCAGACGAAGGGCTGCAGGTGCAGAACATGTGCTCTCCCCATCCATGTCTGCCCTGGGGTCACCCATTGGATCATTATAATGCATTTGCTTTGCAGTTTTAGCCACCATCACCTCTCTCCTCCCAACCAGTTGGGCAAGGCTCCCATGATGATTCTGGTACAAACCTTGTGACATCAAAAACTCTCCTTCCCAACAAGTGGGAGGAGTCCCCCAAATGATTAGAAGCAGTCTCCATTAGAGACCACCCCATCCATGACCTAAGACCCCACTCACATAAAAGAGCCCTGTAGCCTCAGTGCAGTTGCCATCTCTGGGCCTGCCCACTCCCTTCCGGAGAGTGTACTGTCCTTAATAAACTCCTTTAGGCTTGCTACTTTCCTTCTGGCTGTCTTTATTGGGGCATGGATTCTCATGTAAATCTTTCATGGGGAATCCAAGAACCAGGATATGATATGCGATCACTATGATCCACCACGAAAACTTATGGCCATGCAGCGGCCAGGTCCCTATGACAGACCTGGAGCTGGCAGAGGGTATAACAGCATTGGCAGGGGAGCTGGCTTTGAATGGATGAGGCGTGGTGCTTATGGTGGAGGTTATGGAGGCTGTGATGATTATAATGGCTATAATGATGGCTATGGATTTGGGTCAGATAGATTTGAAAGAGACCTCAATTACTGTTTTTCAGGAATGTCTGATCACAGATATGGGGATGGTGGCTCTACTTTCCAGAGCACAACAGGACATTGTGTACACTTGAGGGGATTACCTTACAGAGCTACTGAGAACGACATTTATAATTTTTTTTTCACCGCTCAACCCTGTGAGAGTAAATATTGAAATTGGTCCTGATGGCAGAGTAACTGGTGAAGCAGATGTCGAGTTTGCGACTCATGAAGATGCTGTGGCAGCGATGTCAAAAGACAAAGCAAATATGCAACACAGATATGTAGAACTCTTCTTGAATTCTACAGCAGGAGCAAGCGGTGGTGCTTACGAACACAGATATGTAGAACTCTTCTTGAATTCTACAGCAGGAGCAAGCGGTGGTGCTTATGGTAGCCAAATGATGGGAGGCATGGGCTTGTCAAACCAGTCCAGTTACAGCGGCCCAGCCAGTCAGCAGCTGAGTGGTGGTTATGGAGGTGGCTACGGTGGCCAGAGCAGCATGAGTGGACATGACCAAGTTTTACAGGAAAACTCCAGTGATTTTCAATCAAACATTGCATAGGCAGCCAAGGAGCAGTGAACAGCAGCTACTACTGTAGCGGAAGCCGAGCATCTGTGGGCGTGAACAGAATGGGAGGGATGTCTAGCATGTCCAGTATGAGTGGTGGATGGGGAATGTAACTGATCCTGATCACTGACTCTTGGTCACCGTTTTTTTTTTAAAAGAAACAAAGTTTAACAGTTTTGCAATACAAGCTTGTGATTGATGCTTATTCTAAGTGGAAATCAGGATTGTTTTAAGACTTGAGGTTCAGTATTTTTGAACACAAACATTCATCTAGGATATAACAACTGAGTAAACTGTAACTGTTAAACAATTTTCAGCTTTTCTCTAGTTCTATTGTAGGATGTACTTAAGCAGCAAGTGTATTTAGGTTAAAGCAGTTGAATTATGTTAAATGTTGCTCTTCTACATTACATTGAACACTGTTGGGATGCATGTTGAAAGACATGCTTTTTTTGTAAAACTCAATATAGGAGCTATGTCTACAATTAAAAGTGAACACATTTGGCATGTTTGTTAATTCTAATTTCATTTAATAACCTCTAAGGCATGTAAGTTGAAGCTTTTTTTTTTTTTTTTTTTAAGTTAATGAGGGACTTTGAGATGCAACACCATACGTTAGGATTTTGGTCTTGGTGTTTGTATGAAATTCTGAGGCCTTGATTTAAACCTTTCCTTGTATCGTGATTTCCTTTTAGGTGTATTGCGCTAAGTGAAACTTGTCAAATAAATCTTCCTTTTAAAAACTGCAAAAAAAAAAAAATTGAATTTTTTTACCTCACAGGTAATACAACCTCCCTCTCCTCCCAGCTGCCTCTGTTCTTGTTAATCTAATAAGATCCCAGTAACTTTGTGTCTATTGAAATCAATTTAAAGAAAACTGTGCTGTTGTCATTTGGATACTTGAGGTTATCAAGCCTGTTTCCAATTGGGTTTTTGGGTTTTTTTGTGTGTTTTTACTTTTGTTTTGTTTTTGCATGTAATGAAGTTTTAGTGGTAACTTCAGAGGTATAGAAAACGCATGTGCTTATGTACCATGTTAAATACAATATTTTTTTAATTTAATAATTTTATTGTATGCAGATGTTATCAGCACTAGGGGCCAATGTAACTACAGAAAAAAAATAAATTCTTTGTACATTGAGATTTTTAAACTCCTACTCAGTTGTTGAAGTTAAACTGCGACTCATATCATATTTAAATATTTCAGCACACTTCAGGGCCATGGGTTTTCCAGCATGGAGTAGCTTCCTTTAACTCTATATATCTATTGCCTTTTTTTTTTTGCTTTTTTAAAGATTTATTTTTATTTGGATGGGGGTGGAAGGGTGAGGTGGGGGTGGGGGGAGAAGAGGAAGGGGGAAGGTCAAGGTGAGAGAGAAAATCTCAAGCAGACTTCCTGGTGAGAGTGGAGTCTGATGCCAGTCTCTGTCCCACAATCCTGAGATCATGACCTAAACCAAAATCAAGAGTCTGTCGCCTAACGTGAGGCACCCAGGCACTCTATATGTTACTGCCTTTGCCACTTTGCACTTTCAGTCTCAAAAACGTGTGAGCCAAAATTATTCAAATGCTGTTCTGGGGTAAGCTGTGGCCCAAAATGCAGCTCTATAAAAATTGGTATTTTGTGGTACAATTAAGGTAATCTTCTTTATTATTAAATATCATTGTGACCTTAAGCATCTTAAAAAAAAAAAATTAACATGAGAAAAAAAAACACAAAAATCACCCTAATTCCACTACTGCATGACAGTCATTTAACGTTTTCATTCACTTTCTTCTGGTCTCTTCCATTTATAAGTAAGTGTATGTACAACTCTTGGGCTAAATTATTTTAATGAAATTTTTAACTGTTCACAGAAATGAATACATACTGTGTGGTAGACATTTAAAAATAATACAATTCTAATATTGTTGGAATTAGAAATAATTTCCTAAATTGCCCAATCTTCTGGTCCAAAAGTGAGGGATCTCCATTTATTCTCATATAATTTCTTATAGAAACCCACAGAATTCTACTTAGGATCAGTTCTAAGTGTTTTTTGTTTCTGTAAATGAGAGCTTTCATCTTTCATATTTACTGTGGTTGTTATCAATAAATAGAGTTTTTTAAATATTAATAGAAAAACTTCTGCAAATGCGGTACAGTGGGACACCATATAAAGCTCCCAAGTTACCGGAAGCTTTTCCATTGATTCTAGGGTGTTGAATCTTTTCATGTATCCTTTGCACACATTCATACTTTCAATGATTATCATTGGTATGAACTTTCAGGTGGAAGTTAATAATTATGAAGGCAATTTGTAAAAATTCAGAGTGGGTGCTGCCCTATCAAAGGCCTTTTCTACATTTAAAAAAAAAATTTACTTTCTTATGATGTTGTACATTCACTACTAAGTCACCCTGAATTTGAGATGAACTCTATTATTCTATATTTGAACATTTCAAAATTTGCATTCGTATCTATTACAATATCTGTATTACTATGTTTAGTTTTGATAACCTTCTCCTACAAACTGATTTTGTCAGCGCTTGCTGCTTTTTTTGCTGTCCTGTTTTATCACTAGAAGAATATATTTGTTCACTTATTATAGGTCTCTAACTTATGCTCTTTTTCCTGTTTTCCTTATTCATCTCTTATTTCAATTTTTTCAGTTGAACTGATCGATTTATTTCATAGTTCTTTAAAAGTTAACATGCTTAAGGAGTACATTTTCACTGATTATAATAATTTTGGATTCTAGGACTTTTATGTAAGGAATTCTAAAGAATTTAGAATTCTAAAGCAGATCTGTAATTGTAATTTATCTTTTGTAACTTGACATATTTTAAGTGGTGATATATTTGACATACAACACTATAAGGTTTCCAACATGTTGATTTGATTACGTTTATATATTATAAAGGACTGCCATTCTAGCAGTAGATAACACCTCTCTCGTATTGCATAATTGTTCTTTTTTGTGTGGGAATAGAAAGCTAGTTTCTTAGCAAGTTTGGCAATTGTAATACAATATTGTTTATATGTACTACATTTTGCATTAGATTCCAGGACTTACTTGCCCACTATAACCACTATTTTACTCTTTTTGGGAGTTCGGCATTTTTAGGTTCTACATATAAGTGGTAATATGCAGTATTTGTCTGGTTTATCTTAGCATCATGTCCTCAGAATCCATCCATGCTGTAGTGAATGTGTAGGACTTCATTTTTATGGCTGAATCATATTTCACCATGCATATATACCATATCTTTGTTATTTTACTTGTATGTGGATACTTAGGTTGTTTCCATATCTTGGCTCTTGTGAATAAAGCTGTGATGAGTATAGAAGTGAAAAAATCTCTTGAAGATCTTGATTTGGTTTTCTTTGTGTTTACACCCAGAAGTGGAATTGCTGTATCATATGATAGTTTTATTTTTAATTTATTTAAGAACAGCCATATTAAATTAATCTTAAATTAATAATTAATTTAAATTAATACTTTAAATGATAATTTAAATTAAATATTAAATATGAAATAAACTTGTTCCTACCAGAAGTATACAAAAATTCCCTTTTCTCCGCTTCTTTGCCAGCATTTGTCATCTTGTGTTCTTGATGATAGCCATTCTAACAGGTGTGAGATGTTATCTTATAATGGATTTGAATTGGGTTTCTCTGATAATTGGTGATGTCCAGTGTCTTTGCAGGTATCTGTTGACCACTGGATGTTGTCTTTGAAAAAGTGTCCACTTAGTTCTTCTGTCCATTTTTAAAATCCGATTGTATGTTTTATTTTTGTTGGGTTGTAGGAGTTCTTCATATATTTTGAATATTAACCCTTTATCCAGTATATGGTTTGCAGATACTTTCTTGCATTCTTCAGATTGCTTTTTCATTTTGTTGGTTGTTTATTTTGTACAAAAGCTTTTAACTTTGAATTAGTCTACTTCATTCATTTTTGCTTTCTTATGTGTTTTTGGTGTCTTAACCAAAAAATAATTGCCAAAACTTATGTTGAAGAACTTCTCTGTGTTTTCTTCAAGGAGATTTGGTCTTACATTTTTTGTTTTTGTTTTTGTTTTAAGATTTTCTTTATTTGAGAGAGAGAGCATGCATGAAAAGGGAAAGGGTCAGCGGGAGAAGCAGACTCCCCACTGAGCAGTGAGCCTGACGCGGGACTCAGTCTTAGGACTCCAGGATCATGACCTGAGCCGAAGGCAGTCGCTTAACCAACTGAGCCACCCAGGCACCCCTGGTCTTATGTTTAAGTCTTTGTTCTATTTTGACATAAATTTGTGAGCAGTGTAAGATAAGAGTCTGATTTTATTTTTCTGCATATGTTTGTCTAGTTTTCCCAACATTGTTTGTTGAAGCAACTATTTTTTCCCTATTGAATGTTCCTGGTTCCCTTGTCAAGTACTATTTGATATGTTATACATATGAGTGTTTAATTCTCGCTTGCCGGTTCTGGTCTGAGTTTATGTTTTATGCTGGTGCCATACTGTTTAAATTACTATAGTTTCTTAGTATTATTTGAAATCAAGATGTGTGATGTCTCCAGCTTTATTCTTCTTTCCCAGGATTGCTTTGGTTATTTAGTCTTTTGTAGGTACATAGAAATTTTGAATTGTTATCTATTTCTATGAAGAATGCCATTGGAATTTGGATAGGGATTTCATTCATATCTGTAAGTAGCTTTTGGTAGGATGAATATTCTAACAGTATTTTCCAATTTATGAACACAGGATGTCTTTCCGTTTGTTAAGGTCTTCTTTGATTTCTTTCAACAAAGTTTTGTAGTTTCTGGTGTATAGATCTTAAATGTATTCTGAGGCATTTTATTATTTTGACACTAATGAGAATGGGATAGTTTTCTTTATTTTCAAATGTTTCATCACTAGTATATAGAAATGCAACTGATTTTTATATGTTGATTTTTATATTCTTCAGCTTTACTGAATCGTTGATTAGTTACAATGCTTTTTTTTAGTTGAGTTTTTGGGATTTTGTATATGCAGAGCATATCCTCCACAAACAAGGACAGTTTTACTTCTTCTTTCCTGATGTGGATGCCTCTTTTTTTCCCCCCTTGATTGCTCTATTTAGGACTTCCAGTACTATGTTGAATAAGAATGGTGAGAATGTGCATTCTTGGCTTGTTCCTGAT